CTTTCTTTTATATTTTTTCTTTTTTATCGCTTCCTCTTCCTTCTCTCTCTTTTTTGTTTTTATATATTTTTTAATTTTTCTTTTTTTATCACTTCAAGTGTTTTAGCTACTATTATGTTCCCTCTCATTTTTCTTGATAGCTATTGTTTATTTATTTTTTATTTTCGCTTCTTTTTTTTTATAGCCTTTTTTATTACTTCTTTTGTTTTTCTTATGTACTTATTTTATTGTAGCAATTTAGTCAATAATTTTGGAATTGTTAAAATAGTTTCAGCATTAGCTTACACCATTGGTCTAAACATGATAGATTGTGTGCAATTAAAAAGAATAATTTGAAAAATAATTCATTAGTATTTTTTCAATTAGCTAAAGGATTTGGGATATATGAAATTAAACATCCTTATAAAGAAAATGCTTATAAATAAAAATGCACTTAATTTCCATTTAGTTAAATATCTTGGGATATATAAAGTTAAAAGTCCTTATCCTTAAATATCCAAGTTTAAGAGTTTACATCTTTTTATTTCTTACTTAGACCTTAGTATAAGGATTATTTTTTCTAGCAGCCTTAAAATTGACATATTATAAGCTTTATGTATATTTTTCTATTACTAGTGTAGAACTAATTTTGTTACTATTAGTGTTTTTACCTCCACAAAATTTGAATATACATATATAAATATAAATAAATTTAAAATTTTTTTTATAGGTAGATATTATCAACTTCATTAAGATTGATTAGTATGGTAAAGATTTATTAATGTTAGCTCCTAAATTCAAATTTATTGAAAGGTCACCCATCTTAGTCAAGAATGCTTAACCCCAAATATCCTAAAACTTTTAATTGATTATAAAAGAAGTGCACTTTTAATATATTTTCCCTTTATAATTAACTTATTTCTCAAATTATATTTTTTTTGCTACTTACATCTTAAAACTTCAATACTTATTATTCTCTTTGATTATCAAAGAGGATAAACATAAGCTAGGAAGGGATAGTTGCTCATCACCTCTTAGATTAGGTTACTTCCCTCCATCTTCTCTTGCTACTAAGCTCGTAGTACAACTATAATTTGACAACTTTTTGTTTTCATTCCTAGCTAAAAAAACAGTATAAACTTAGAGTGAGTTGCTTAGTATCTTCCCAAGGTTGGAATGCCCAAGACATATTGCTAAAACAATTTGATTAGCCTTCATGCTATGCTAGGAATGTAGAGTGTTAAAACAAATACTTAATAGAAGTGTTAAACTCATGTTTAAAAATAATTTAGTAGTGTTGTTCTTGCCTAGAGTGAAAGAGAGAGAAGATCCCTAAATGTGTACACTTCTATACCTTTACGTTTGACAGGAATGCAGCTGTGAGAAAATAAATAGAATCTTTTTCCTTCCAACGCCAAAAAAAAAGGACACCAGCTATACACACTGGTTACTCGTTCTCATCATCCCGAGTGATGCGATTTTGCTGAATAATCTGTGTCGGAATCGATCGAGAAGCGGTCGAGCAGTCCAGCTTTTCCTTCTTAGAGAAGCGGTCGAGCAGCCAGTCCAGCGTTTCCTTCTTAGCCAATCTCCGCTTCCTGACTTCCATCCAGAAACCCGCCCTTCATCCAGTCCCGAGGAGAATCGGCCGGAGCACACTCGTTTAGATCAAAGAACCGTAGCTGCTTTCCCCTTTCATCCTCGTCCTCTTCCCCATCACCGTTTACGTGACTCCAGCCACCTTGTGTGTTTTCCTCCTCGTCTTCACCATCAGCACCTTCTTCTTTATCTTCTTCTTTTGTATCATCTTGTTCTCCGTCCTCTTCCATCTCTGCCTGTTCTTGTCCCGTTTCTTCGTCTCCTATAACTTGGTTTCCTGTATCCGAAGTTCCACCACTGCTGTGCAGAGAACCAGCGGATTCCATGCTGTAATCTGCGTCGTCTATGCTACTCGGGCTTGCTTTAAGTTCCCCATTTCCTCCCGCTGCTTTCTTGGCGGTATAAGCTTGTTCTTCTTCTTCGTCTTCCTCATCTTCCTCCTCCTCTTCACTGTGCTCATAAGCGTTGTAGTTCACCTTGCTTCTCGTGGCTCGTTTGCTTCGCCGCAGGCCAGTGTCTGCCACCCGTTTTGGTCTCCTCGCACGCCGCATCGATCTAACCAAGAATTCTTGCTTCTCCTCTTGCTGTTCCAGCTCCTCCTCTTCCTCGCTATAACTAACTGCTACGTCGTCGTCGTCGTCGTCTACGTCTTCATGGTCATCGCCTCTGTATTCCTCGTCCTCTACAGAGCTTGTGTCACCTCTTTTCCGTTTTCGTTCTCTGCGCCGTACAAAATCGTCGTCGTAAATGGCTTCTCCCTCAATCTCGTCATCACTATATAAATCATCCTCCTCCGTGTAAGCAGCGTCCACATAGTCTTTACCACAGTAACGTTGAGATCTACGTCGTTGCCGGCTCCTAGAATCAGCAATTGTTATCTTCTACTTAAAGCCAGTATGAAAGATACCTCGGTTTAATCTTCCTTCGAAATGAAGTTCCAGCATCGTCTGAGGCTGCGGAATCATTCGAGGTTGCTGGCCCATCCGAGAGCTCACGATAATTGTCGTCTTCACGGGGATCGAAGGGGGCGTGATTGTTCGAGAGATCACAGGGGCTAAGTCCCGTTTGATCACCATCATTTACTCGTTCTTTGCGTACGCGTTTCTCCGGATGACTCCCATGACCGTTTGCTACAGTTGAATGGCCATTTGCCAACTCTGCAGCTCGTTCGGGCTTCCTGCAAGGTGTTTGGAAGCTGAAGTGTAGTGAAACAGTATCGCGTAGGTACCTTGTAGATTTGATTGCCTCGTTGATAGATCGATCATATTCAGCTGCACGCAGACATGAAAAAGATAAGAGTAATATAAAAAAGAACTAAGGATGTCGTACGAAATGTGTAGTTGACGGGTTTACGATCGCGCTTAGCCCGGCCACTGTCTAGATTATGTTCAAGCGTGGTCACCAGTAATTTTGCCTGTCTTTGTTTTCGTTTCAAGTCCCTGACCTTCTTCTGCAAAATAAGAACCATAGGCTGAACATAACATTGCGAATAAGTTTTGCACCTTCTCAACGGCCTCTAAAACGGGTAGGATGTCTTGTTTTAGTCTTTTTCCTAGACCGATTTCTTGCTTGAACTTGCTAGACAAAAGCGTGTCCTGCATTTGAAAATGAATTAGTCCTGTCTCATGAGTTGTAGAAAGACATACAGCAACCGACTGAAATTCATCGAAGTTGCTTGCCAATGTTTCCCACTGACCGGGAGGAGGAGGCGACGCGGTGCGTCCTTTGAACTCCTTTCCCTTGGGTGTTGGTATATCTCTGTAAAGTCTATAACCTGATATTGGATTGTTTTCGCACCTAGCGATCAAGAGTCAGCCAACAAACAACAGAAAGGATATAGCCGTCAAATACCAGTACGTAGTTCCAAGTAAGTTTGAGCCTGCGCGCTCCTTACGAAAGAGGGACAAGTATCCCTTCTTCACAGGCTCTTCCATATGCGCCCGAACATCATCTTGCTGCACATGTAAAATAAGTCTGCCTGGAAATACTAGAAACAGCATTACGTACGTCAAGACGAACTTCACACAATGCTCTTAAGATGATCAATCTTGTTGATGGATCAAATCCGCTATAAGTTTCAGCCTCGCTCCTGAAGTTAACGCTATCAGACAGGTATGAAATCTATAGTAAGACTCACCCATGGGATTCCGCAAGAGGGAATGGAGGCTCGGCTACCTGTTTAGCCAGCGGTTACCAAAGAGAGCTGTAAAACGTATTAGAGCGTGTGTTACCTTCGACCACCTGTCCTTGAGCTTTTTGTATAGAACTGTGACCCAGCTATCGCGATTTAGAGGAACCCGAGAAGGAGGGTGGATTCCCTGGGAGCTGAAAGTAAGAAAGCTAGAAACTCAGCTTGTTTCTAGACATTACCTTGAGCAGCGCAGTGTGGATGTCCATGAGTAGATCGTTGCACGTAAGGAGAGCGGTCTCCAGTTCCTCGGCCGAGAACTCTACCAGTTTCAAAATTGGTCGAAAGGTCTGAATTGAAACAAGCCATGGTCATACAAACAAAAAAAGAAGAACTTACATTGAAGAAGTTGATGATCGACGCAAGCTCCCACATACGCCTTAGCTCGTGAAGATCCTTCTGCTCCGGCACTAACGAGAGTGGATTGGAGAAGATGAGCGGGGCCGGCTGATCGTCTTGCTTCTTGAGCTGTGGTGGTGGCCGCTCTACCGCGGGAGCCAATGGAGCTAGCCTCGAGGGCGTTCTCGCCGTGCAAGCTCGCGTCGGCCGCTTCCTCGTCTCGGACATTGCCCAAAGATCCCTCTCGGACGGACTGATCCTCCAAATTCCCTCGAAAAGAAAGAGACCCTAGGCTAAGAAAGCCTATCTATCCTTGGAGAACCTAACGAGGAGAGGAGTTCTCTCATCGCTTCCTCGCCACGCTTCTAAGATCACCCGGTGTCCTGCTCGGGCTGTAGCCATCCGGCAGCCAGAAATTTCGACATTGCCCTGTGCGCGCTGCCCGATTGCTGCCAAGGAAGCGTAAACCCTGCTCCTTCTCGGACTATTTCCCGACTATTCCTCGAAATCTAAGCAAGAATCCGGCCCCTGCGCGAGAAATGGCCGCGCAAGACGTCATCCCGGCGGCCGGCGCTCCAAATATCTGGGAAGAAGGAGCTGAATTCTTCACAGCCGCTGCTAGCTCCCTCCCAGGATCAATCTAGCAAAAGCTTGCGCGCGCTGCTCGATCATCAGCCAGCGCTGCGACGACACCGCGAGAAAATCTCCAAAACGCGAGCAAGCGCTTCCCTGCTCGCCAGGCGCTCCGTGTTCTTCTCTTCCTCGAGACAAAAAAGAACGAGAGAAAAATATCAATTAAAACTTAAGCAACGGGTACAAACGTGCCACGTGGATCTCGATCGGACGGATGTGGCAAGGGTAAAAAGCCATGGCATTTTTAGGGTTTGTGGTGAATTTAGGGCTCGTCGCAGCTCAGTCTCCTCTCCCCATTTTTGATCGCATCGCAGCTAGGTGATGCCGATCGACTAGGCGCATCGAGGGATTCCTTTCATGTCGATCTTGCTGGAGTCGCGGAGCCAGAGCCGGGAGAGTGAATCGCGCGAGGGAGGAGGAGGAGGGATCGTCCAGCAGCCAGGCTCGTTCTACAATGGCAATCCATCGTCTTCGATCTGGGGGAGGAGCGGTAGCTCGTTCTGGAAGAATGCTGGCTTGTTACACAAGGTAGCGGCGGCGTCTCCCTTCGATTTTGGGTTTCCGTCTCAAGTCAGTGTTCCACCGCCTCCGGTGGAGACCCTCGACTCGGAGACGTCGAAGGATCGTCCCGAGGTATTTGTTTTCGGATCGATTGCTAACGCCGGGAGCACTGGCAGCAGTCCTGGAAGTGGTGATCGCAATGACGATTGCGTCTCTGCTGGCTCCGGAATCGCGAATCACGGTGAGAAACCCAGAGAGAGTCTGGAGTCTATGCTTCACGAACTACACATTGATTCAGCATCTCCTCCAACTTTTCCAGTGGATCAGCAGCAATTCTCTCCAGTTCCTCCAAGTTTTCCTTCTCCGAGCTTTCCATCCATGGATCAACAGCAGTTCTCTCCAGCTCGAGAAGATAAGGAACCTTCCAAGCCGACAACATTCACTGTTGGTATACCGACTTCTCATCACCAAACTGGAAATCCTCGCCCTCGGTTCTCAAAGCTGCGCAAGAGCACTCATCCAGCCAAAGGTAAAGGTGTTGCTCGCGGCGAGGGGATCGAAAGACCATATCAAGCTTTTACTTTCGATTCTCGTGCTGCTAGTCCCGACGCTGCTAACTTTCAAACGGGGGAACCATCAATCACAGTTGAGGAGTCTGCAGTGGTGGATTCCAAGCTAGAAAACGAGTTGGACAAGGATGGAAGCTCGGCACAGGGTCATGGTAGCCAGAGAGTTGAAGCGCGGGAAGAGGATGCTGGTCAAGAGATCCCGTCGTCCAGCACTTTCGTTTTCACGTCCATGCGAAACGCAGTTCCAGTGGTTCCTGAGCGTGGAGACTCGGCAAAGGACGCCCATTCTTTAGTAGCGGACCTCACTGCCTTGAAAATGGGAGAAAAGGGGTCTGGCGACTCGGTTCCAAGCTCAAACCCTCCACCTTCGTTCGTCTTCGGCGCTAGTTCGGCACAGGCTCAGTCCCATCCAAAAGTTGACGAAAGCAAACCTCTGACTTCGGACGCGACTTTTGTCTTTGGATCTTCCGGAGGAGTAACCCCCAGCATCAGGAGAAAGAAGGGAGTTCGAAAGCTTTCTAGCCGTTCCAGGGGAGTTCGTTCCTCAAGCACATCCGCTACAGATGAGCAAGGCTCGCCTATGGATTTTTCGCCATGTCCTGACACTGGATCTCGCCTGTCACCACAAATGACAGGGAACAACAGTGAAGCTGAGGAACATGATCAAGCATGGAATTCTCAGTTCCAGTTTTACTCGTCGGAGGAGGTGGATAGCTTGAGCAATGCGGCTGCTGATCTCACTCTTGGAAACCAGTCGGATGAGTCGAAAGAAACCAATGTCCCCAAGACTTTTGCTTTCACAGCAAGCTCGCCTACGGCTCCAGCTAGAAGACGACCTCGCCGAACACCCAAGCCTGCTGGTTTCAGAAGCAAAGGTGGTGTGACTCGATCAACGTCAAGGCCTGAAGTTCATGGCATGGATCTTGACACCGCTAAGATTGAAAGTGATGGCTGGAAACAGGCGGCTGGACAGAACGCGGATTCCACAATGCCGTCTGCTGCTACTCCTGCCAACCGTGCTGCAGTTGAACAAGCTTGCGAGAAATGGAGACTAAGGTACGTTTTACTTTGAAAGTTCTAGTGTGCAGTATCTTACTGGAGTGTCTGCACAGGGGAAATGAAGCTTACGCGAGCGGGGACTTTCCAAAAGCTGAGGAATATTACTCGCTTGGCATCAATAGCGTTCTTCCGAGCGAGACGTCGCAGAGTTGCATTCGCTCCTCAATGCTGTGCTACAGCAACCGAGCTGCAACGCGAATGGTCGTCGGTAGGATGAGGGAGGCGTTAGGAGATTGCTTGCGAGCAATCGCCGTGGATCCCAATTTTCTTCGCGTTAGGATACGTGCCGGCAGGTTCGTTTGCTTGTGTCCCTTTCTTTGTTTTTCTAACTCCAGTACAACGCAGTTGCCATCTTTCTCTGGGAGAACCGGAGGCCGCGCTTGCGTTTTTCCAAGATTGTCTAAACCGTGCAAGAGATTCTGATGGTGGTGACTCGAAAATTGCGCTGGAGGCGTTGGAGGGTCTTAGGAAAACTCAAGTAAGCTTTATTATGGATGTTACTGGAAAGCTCTCTGATGCGTTTTTTCTTGCGTAGCAAACGGACGAGTACTTTCAACGGGCATGGGAATTGTTGGCAGCCAACGACCATACGGCCACATTGAGAATTTTGAACGAGGCGCTTCTCATCTGTCCATACTCCGAGATTTTTCTTGAATTGAAAGCTCGTTCACATCTGGGTGTAAGTACTTTTTGTTCTTCTTTCTCTCCGTTCAGCCGAATAAGCGTTTGCAACAATTGCAGCTTCGGATGTACAGCAACGTCATCCAATTGTGCGAGCAAACTCTAGTGTCAGCGGAGCGCAACTGGACTCAATCCCAACAGTCTCAAATTGTTCGTGGATTCCGGCCTGGGTCGTCGCCTAAAATCTGGCGTTCTTGGGCAACTTCCAAGGCTTTGTTTTACGTAGGACGGCTGAAAGAATCGCTTGAGTGCTTACAGAAACTCGGAGATTTTTTAGCGCTTTCTGGAGATGAAAGGTATGCAATTTCTTTTCCTTTCAGAAAAGTTCTAATGGGCCTTCTATTTCAGAATAAGTCACATACAAGAGGCGGATTTAGAGACGCTGTCACAGTTTATTGGCCTTGTCCAGCAGCTCTTACAGTATAAGGTAGGCAAGATTTTGTAGTTTTCGAGATTTCGTCTTTTATAATCTTTTCTCCTCCTCAGACGGCTGGGAACGAAGCATTCCAAGCAGGAAGACACACTGAGGCTGTTGAACACTATACAGCTGCTTTGGCCTGTAACAGCGAGGCTCGACCTTTCAATGCGGTTCTATTTTGTAATCGCGCTGCTGCTTCTCAAGCGTTGGGTCACATTGCTGATGCAATTGCGGACTCTAGCCGTGCAGTAGCCTTGGATCCAAAATACGTGAAGGTTCGTCATGTGAAGCTTCCTTTCCATTTTAATGAGCTTGTGCTGATGCAGGCTATATCAAGGCGAGTAACGCTGCATACTTTGATTCGGGACTATGGCCAGGCGTGTAGCGACTTGCGGAGGCTGATTTCTCTTTTAGAAACGGAGAGTTCTCACCAAGAATTTAAGCAAGCGCGCGAGCGACTCGCAAGTGCCGAGGAAGATTTGAAGAAGAGTCACCCAGTCGATCACTATTTGATTCTGTAAGTGGCTTTTTCATTCACTTAGACGCAAAGAAGCTTTCATTCACTAACCGAGCAAACGGTTTTGCAGGGGATTAGAATCTTCTTGCACGGCGGCTGAGGTAAAGAAGGCGTATAGAAAGCTGGCCTTGCGGCATCATCCTGATAAGGTGAGTTACCATGCTTGACGAGCCGCGGATAACGTTGTATCGTTTCACAGGCAGGACAATTTGTTGTGCGCACTGATGGAGGCGAGGATGGAAAGGACGTGGGCGAAGAAATTCGAAATGACGCTGAGCGCTTGTTCAAGCTGATTGGAGAGGCCTATGCCATCCTTTCAGATCCCGCCAAGGTAAAGTTTTCATCCATTTCATCGTTCTTCTCTTTGTAGTTCTTGACGGTTAAGGTAACGATGGTTGGTCTCTCGCAGAGAGCACGCTACGATGCCGATGAAGATTTGAGAAAGCTGAGAAATCGCGGAGCGACCAACAATCCAAGCTCTGAGAATCATCGCTACGATCGAACGCATAGACGGCAGAGAGATCGATGGGATGCGTGGTGTGGCTACGCGCATCAGTACCAGCGGTGGCAAAATGGCCCCGACGCCGCGCAGCCCGACACTTACGCGCGTCAAAGCCGATACACCAATGGGGGGAGATCAGCTGAATTCAGTTGGGACGATCTCTAGGATTAGGGCTACTCTCTTTGAATTTGGGTCGTCGGATCAAACTCATGTGGGCCGTTGGCATTGGATTGAATTGGTTGAATTGCAGCCGTCGATTGAAACATCTTGTTTTAGGGTTTTTGGCGACTATGGACGATTCGCTCTCCTTCACGGAGGACGACAGCGATGTATAGGGTGGATTCTCTTCTTGATCGCATTTTTGAGGTTTCTTGTGTCGCAGAACCTCGTTTTGATCGTGAAGAGCGCGCATCAGCTCAAAATCTGTGGATCGAAGGGGGAATGGACGGATTTCCTGGCGGCCAGAGGTCTTTCCCGCGCGGTGAGCGATCCTGAGCGGCACAAATGGCAGGTTTTGGCTGAGTTTGTGCGAACATTTGACAATGAGGTAGGATTTTTGTCTTCTTAGATTCTGTGCCATTGACGAGCTTTCTCCGTAGATGGTGAAGCGTTTGAAGCGCTGGAGGAAGCGGCTAGCGATCATTAAGCTAGTAGAGGCTAGTGATCCTTGGTCGAAAACTCCCGAGCAGGTACTTAATGAATCAAAGCTCTTCCTTTGATAAATCTTTCCATCTCTTGCCAGAACAGTGCTTGGTGGATCGGACATATGAACATCCTCTCTTCTTCACGTCATACCACTTTCCATCCTTTCTCCCGGTATTTCTTTCAACACCCGCGAAACGTTTCTCAGTTTTCTTCTCGCAGGGATGGAAATGCACAAAGAGGGGATCGTCTTCGGATGCTAGCAATCCTGAAAGGCTACTTTCTCTCGACTGTGAGATGGTTATGTGCGAAGGCTATGAGCAGCAAGTCGTGCAAGTGTGCATTGTGGATCGAAACAATAAGGTGCGCTTTGCTGGTTTTTTCTCCATTTCAAGACACTAAGTTGGAAGGCTTTAGACAGTGCTTGATACATTGGTAAAGCCAAGTAAGAAAGTCATTGACTACATAACTCACATTCATGGATTGGAGAAAAAAGATATAGCACAAGCAACATGCACTCAAGAGGACATTCAGGTAATTTGCTTACACACCATAGCGTTACTACTGCCATCTCTATTTATCAGAAAGAGGTGGCTAAGCTTCTAGAACCTGGAACTATTTTGGTTGGTCATAGCGTATTTTATGATCTAAAAGGTATTTTTTTTATTTGCAGTAACTTCAACAAGGGCTCATGTTTGCTACTTTCAGCTCTAAAACTTGATCATAGGAGAGTCATTGACACGTCCATGCTTTTCAGGCTCAAGGGCTCGGCTATGATTAGTTTGCAAAATCTCTGCAAGGTATATCATTGTTGCGAAATCAGAGCTGACTTTACTTGTTTTGAAGGCCATGCTGGGTTACGATTTCCGGGAAACTGGCACTCACAAGTGTATCGACGATGCAATCGTTCCTATGAAGCTTATTCTGCACCAACTGGAACATGGGACCATCGACGTTAAAGTACGTTCGCGAGCTGAAGAGATTTATTCTGACTCGTGATTACAGATAAATTTCCCAAGCTCGGATCCATGTCGACTTCTCATCCACAAGATGTCGCACCGACTGATACCTGACGAGCTCAGAAGAATAGTGGCGGGTACCATTCCCTGTACAATCGAGGTAAGCCTTTGAAGCTTTTCTCGAGAGTATGGTTTCCAATGCGAGTTTTGTCGATGATAGAAAGTGGAAGGCAAGAAAGGCCAGATGCACGTTGTGTTTGAATCCAAACTTCTCGCAAACAGAGCATTCGAGCTGCTATCTGGCGAAGCTGGACAGGTATCTCTCCGTTTCTCGGTTTCGCGACTCAAAATTACGTTTTCTTGACAGGATTCTGGCGGCTTCGAGCAAAAGTCTGTTACGCAATGGAGGAAAGGCCTGTACCTCCAGCTCCGCGTAAGAAAGTTAGCGCACAGCTCCGAAGAGGATCATCCTTCGATCACTCCAAAAAAGAGAGAGCTGGAAACGACTGCGGTGGAATCGAAGCGATTGAAACAGCAGCCGGATCGAATCGACAGTAGAGCCGAACTTGCGAGATTGACGAGGCACAAACAAAGGCCAGAGAAGAAGAAGTAGAAAAGTGGAAGCCTGGAATGACTTTAAAAATTTGTACTTGGAAGGGGGAGTATCTTCTCCCCCAAAACGCTATGGATTTGTGTTCTAGGGTTCCAGCGCCCGCGTCCTCCAGGCCGCTGTGCGCGTACGAGATTCCATCGCGGCTCGGCGGCAGGAGCTCCCATCTCGCGGCGGAATGGCGGATTCGCAAAAATGCGGTGCTCACGACGACGATTTCTCGCAGGTTTTGGTTTTGGCTGGGCGTTCCTCTCGCATTTTGATCGTGTTCTAGATTCCAGGAGGATGCGATCGAGGTGTTCTTACGCGTCGGGAAGCAAGTACTCGGAACCGATCGATGTGGTCGCTAAGGTCCGCACAGAGAAGGTTTGCGTTTTTCTGTCGGAGTGAAATTTTTTACTAGAATGCTGATCTTCGTTGTTCTTCGCAGGTGGTGGTCCTTGGAGGCAGTGGTTTTGTGGGATCATCCGTGTGTAAGGCCGCGATTGCGCAAGGAATCGATGTAACGAGCCTTAGCCGGTTAGTGCTGGACCGAAAGAAATTTCTATGCTCGTTTTGGTGGTGATCTTTCTTCCTTTCCTTTTTTCCAGGTCTGGAAAACCTTCATACCCAGACCCATGGGTGGATCAAGTTCTCTGGGTCTCAGGTAATGTTCTACTGCTATGAGATGTTTCTCTAAGGATGTTTTTCCATAGGAGAACTGCTAGATGTTTCGCTATCTTACGAGAAAGTTTCTCTGTAGGAAACGTGTTCTACGCGGACTGGAATTCTCTGCTCAAAGGTGCAACTGCGGTGATATCCACGATAGGAGGCTTCGGGACGAACGAAGAAATGGAGAAGATCAACGGAGAAGCTAACATAGTCGCCGTTGGTGAAGCATGCAAAGCTGGTAAGTGATCCGAGGCATGCTGTGGTTTTAGTTTTTGAGATTTCTAAGCTCTCAGGCATACCGAAGTTCGTCTACGTTTCGGTTCACGATTACAATCTTCCGTTCTTCGTGTTGAATTCGCTTGGATACTTCACTGGGAAGAGGAAGGCGGAAGCGGAGGTCTTGTCCAAGTTTCCAGGCTCGGGTAAACGTTTCATAAGTTTCTCATCGCAAGTGCCTTGATGATTCTGGCAGGCACTGTTCTTCGGCCTGGTTTCATTTACGGCAAGAGACGGATAAATGGAGTCGACGTTCCGCTCGACATCATCGGCAAGCCTTTGGATAAGTTCCTCACCTCGGCTGAGAATTTTATCAGTCCTCTCAAGTCCATCCCTGGCTCGGATGTGCTTCTCAGCGCTCCCGTTAGCGTTGAAGACGTTGCTGGAGCTGCAGTGAAAGCTGTTCTGGACGATTCCATCTTCGGGGTGTTGACGATCGAGCAGATCAAGGAAGCGGCATCCTCTTTGAAGTCAGCGGTACCTTTGTAGCAGTCAAGCCTACGAAGACGCTTGAGCCTTTGAGGTTTGGCTCCTTCTTTACAAGGCTTTTGTTGTTCTAAGGATGTTTCTTTCGTTTTTTGTAGTGTTCATATCTTGAAGAGCGATGTACACTTCTCAAAACTTATAAACGAAAGATGCGCTTATGTTTGCCTCTTGAGCTTGCTCAAGCGTGATAGAGTGAGTTACTATGCTACGTTCGATTTGCTTCAACCGTAGCAGTGTCCATCCCGCTCAACCTGGTCTCATGAAGTTTTCTAAGAGATTTTGCTTAAGAAAGTCCTGCCAGATCCTTTGTGACAAGCGAAAATACAGCAACTCTAGCTCCCATTTCTCTGGAGCGGCAGCGATCAAAACACCAACGTCGAGCACGAGCAGCATCACGACTCGAGAGCGTGCATTTCTCCCAGCCACCATAGCAGCTCGACTTACTCGGTTTGATCCAGTAGACTTTGGGATGGCGATCAAGTTTTGGAAGAAGGGATCGATGCTCCTGGAAGTGGAGATCACTTATGAGAAGTCCAGCATCGCTTACACGGTTCGCACTGCTACTATGGATTTCTTGAAGGTTTTGAATGGCGATATCAATCACACGAAAAACATGAAAAACTGGTTAGCAATTATGTTTCCTATTTTTGTGTTCTCATGGTTCCACCTTTGATCGCTTGGAACATCCAAACTCATCCAAGCTCAACAGGAAGATTGGCTTGACGCTTTATAGTTCTTTGTTCATTCATGGAGCCTATTGAAGTGTTTTTCTTCCTGTTGCAGAGTCCCTTTCGCTCGAGGACGAAGCGTGATGTTACCGACGTAATCGTCTCTGCGTTTGCGATGTCGCTGTGGTTTACTTCGTCTTTGTGGTCCTTGTCTCATGCTTGAAGACGGGCTGGAATAACTTTTCAATGGAAGCTTGGAAGGAACTCGAACTCTGCAGAACTTCTTAAGCCCGATCCTCTCTTACTTCCAAGGCGTATTTAGTCGTCGCAACACATGGACTACAGTTGTAAAGAGGTATCCAGCAAGAATTGCTTTCTAAGTTGGCAGGCTGACAATCGATCGCAGCGAAAAGCACTAGAACTCGAAAGCACAAGGAATGCGTTAAGCTACTGTTTCTTCTGCCTCGTCTTGAGCCCCAGCACGAGGCAGCACAGGCAGCGGTACGCAATCGCGAAGCCGATCATGACACCAACGTCGAGCCACTTGCTGTCGTTCTCGAGAGCAGCCTGGACGAGCACGTCGCGACCCGAGAGCGTGCACTTTCCAGCCACCACCTCTCCGTAGCAGCTCGACTTGTTTGGTGGCGACGAGTATTCATTGATGAGCAGCGCATCTAGAGGGTACTTGAACAGCGAGATGTAGTGCATGAAGATCCAGTACTCCGGGATGCTGTCCTTGGCGATGAAGTATCCAGAGAAGAGGAAGAAGGCCCCGATGCTGCCGGAGATGAGGGAGTAGCCCATGATGAAGTTCGGGACGAGAGCGCTGAAGAAGGCGACGAAGGAGTTGGCCATGACGACAATGAGCCACACAACGAGCACGAAGAAGAGATAGGACGAGATGCACGGGTTCAGTCCGACCAGCCAGTACGTTGGAGCCGAGTAGAGCAAGGAGCAGACGAGCAGGAACGGGAGGAAGACGAGAGTGTTGGAGATCACGTACGAGGAGACTCGATACGCGCCTCGGGACGTCTCTCTCATAAGGATCTGCTTCTCCTGGAGGTAGAGCGGAAGAGCCTCGGTGGTCGACGACAGCAGGAACGTAAGAGTGAACGCGAAGAAGCCGTAGCGTTCCTGGATTCCTCCCTTGTTGTGGGACAGTCGCAAGAAGATCGAGCCAAGCCCGAGACCGGCCACCGCAGCCTGGAGCGTCCGTGCCGCGAAGAGCTGCCTCGTCCGGATGATGTTCTTGCTGAAGCGGTTGGACAGAACCATGATCTCCTGGAACCGAGAGTTCGCGTAGTCGAGGTGCATCTCCTCGGGCCCTGGAGAGTTTACGTCGGACACCTCGGAGGTGACTTCGTCCAGCGCCATTTCGACGTCACCACCATCGCCAGCAGCGGCGGCAGCAGCAGCAGCAGCACTAGCAGCGGCAGCAGGATCATGATCTCCATTCAGCTGGCCGGACATAAGGAACAGGTCCTGGAGCGATCCTTGGAGGCCAACTTTACTCCTCGTCGTTCCCAGAGTTGTGCTTCCGATAATGCCACTCTTCTCGGCTTCGAACAGGTCGATGGTGTCGATGGCATACTCGAGAACGTTCACTTGCTGGGGGATCCGGTGACCGGCCTCCTGGAGCCTGGTCGCGAGCAGGCCGATAGAACCATGGTGGATGACGGCTCCGTTCGCTAGCAGCAGGATGTTGTGGATCAGCTGGAGGATCCGGAAACCAGGCTGGTGGATGCTGAGAATTATCGTCCGGCCGTGCGACTCCGCCATGTTGTTGAGCATCCCGATAACTTGGAGCGCTCCAGCACTGTCCAGTCCGGATGTTGGCTCGTCCAGGAGAAGAACAGCCGGGTCGTGGATCACGTCAACTCCGATGGAAACTCGCCGCCGCTCGCCACCCGACACGCCCCGGACGTTCTCGCTGCCGATCCGCGAGCCGGCTACGTGGAGGAGCCCGAGCTCTCCCATGAGAGCTTCAACTCGGGCCGCCTTCTCGGCCTTGGGGAGCGACGAAGGCAGCCGGAGTTGAGCACTGAAGAGCAGCGTCTCGTGGACCGTGAGCAGTGGAAACAACGCGTCGTGCTGCATGACGTAGCCGGAGACGCGCCGGAAGTGCTCGAAGTCGATCGGCTGGTTGTTGACGAGAATGCTGCTGTTCTTGGGGCTGACGGTGCTCACGGACGAAGATGGTCCGTGACTTGGATGAATTCTCCCGGCGAGAACCTCGAGCAATGTGGATTTGCCGGCTCCACTGGGTCCTGCTACTGCTAGAATCTCTCCGGGCCTAGCTACGCAGCTAACGTTCCTAAGAATGTACCTGGCCTGGTGGTGGTGGTGGCGACGGTGGTGGTGGTGGTGGTGATGGTGGCGTTGGAAGAACCGAGCTCCAGGGAAGCAGCCGCTCCGGTCGGTCCGCTTGATGATCTTGTAGTAAAGGTTCCGGACCTCGATCTCGTAAGTCCGGAGGCGGGGGGACTTGTAAGGCGAGTCCATGGCGACCTGGGAAGCTTTGATGATCACTCCATTGGGGACGACAGAGGAGAGGCGAGATATCTTGTGGACGTCGTCGACTGCATTCTCATTTGTAGCAGCAGTGGCAGTAGCAGCAGCAGCAGCGGCAGCAGTGTGAGGATTCGCATCGCCCATCCTCGAAGAACTCCAGAGACGAGCAAAGCAGGGGACTTTAAAGGCTCTCGGTACAATCAATGAGTTTGGAGGACGAGAAGCAAGAAGGGGATTCAAGAGGAGAGATGGTTCTTCCCGGTAGCAGCAGCAACACCACCAGCAGCAGTGATGGTGTGATCTCTTCTTCTTCTCTTTGTACTCTTCTTCTCGATCGATCGATCGATCTCCTTCCTAGCAGGCAGGACGAAGGAACGCGACTCCCCTGCTCGGCTACTTACTTGGAGTTCTTCGCTGGTGGCACTGGCATTTGGACTGGAGGTAAGTCATTGTTTTTTCCTTCTTTTTCCTTTCTCGGTTCTAGAAGTTATGCTCAACTAAATCCCTCCTCCCACCATAGCTCTTGTTCCTCGTCTTCCACTTCCATTTTCAGTGCTTCCACTGCTACCACTCAGCATGATTCAAGCAACGCACAAATCACTCACCACACTGCTGCTACTTCTCACCTCCTACACCCTGTAGACTTTACCAAACGAACACGCAGTAAAAGATAAAAATAGCAGGATTTCTACTTTAGCCCAGGTGAAAAAAAAGCTCCAAAGCCTTATCATACGCGCTCATTAACTACGTGTCAGGATACTACACCCACCTCATTCATCCATCCACAGAGAGAGTATTTGGGCATCTTTGGGCATCCAACGCTTTCCATGTGATGGCATATTCCCCACCGCGGCGCGCTGCCAATTGGCTGCTGCTCGGCTTGAATGTGGTATATTCGACTGGATATTTGGCTATGAACGTTGGAGCCCTAAAGGGATATTCTGACCTAGAAACAGGGGAAGCGATGGAGCATCGTGAATTCGTGGATTTCTCAGTCCAGGGTGAGGATTCCTATGACCTTCCAGCGATTGCTGCTGCTGCTGCTGGAACCCAAGAATTTCCTAGCTCCTTCGAGCGTGATCTTCACCTTGAATCGCCGGTGGTTTCGCCGGATCGTCACGGAGAGATCCAATGCAGCCCCAGTCTCGACGACCAATGCGCGCGCTGTTTCTCCATGGCTCTTGGCATCCAAGAGCAGCGAGAGACCCGTTGCCACGGCCACCATTGTTGATTTCTTCGTCTTCTTCGTTTCCGCCATAGCCAAGGCTAAGAGAAAAGCTACAATGGTACCATCTTACATAAATCTTTCTTTCACGAATCCTTCGATAGCGCGGCCTCGCGGAAAAGCTTGTGATCTTCGAAGTTCCTGCGCTAGCCACCGCTCGGTTTGATGCTGCTTTGAGAGCGCAACAATAGAAAAAAGTGGAATAATCGAGCTGTATGAAACAAATGCCTAAAAAGATGGCTGTGATTGGACCACACTCCCAGAGGCATATATTCTTCGATTTGCTAGAAGCTTCCAAATCGGCAGATTAAAACACAAAAGAGCAATGCTCTTAGCAAAACAGATTTCGAACGAGGAGCTTTTACTCACGAAAAATGGTTGCAAAGCCGCTGCAGCCAAGGCTCGCTTTTCACGCATTCTCCAAGCAATCCGATGGAATAAATGGTTGGAATAAAAAAACCAAGTAGAAAAGTAGAACAACATTGGAAGCAGATCAAACACTTGATGGATCACCTCGCGAGTCACAGATAGCATCGAGTTTTTTTGCCAAAAGAAGGATGATGCGAGAACAGTTTCAATGCAGATCGTGTCTTTTCCAAATTTCTGAACAAACCGCCCTCGTCGGCTTTCTAAATGCCAGCAAAAGGAAATTTTTCTGGAGAGCTTTAGGCATGAGATCCATTTTTCTCTACCTTTGTCATTCGTGACTCTTCCAGCAGCATGAAGAGAGGATCAACCACTGATCCCAAAAACAAGCTTTCATCTTTCGGAAGTGATATCAACCAAAAGATTACGCAAGAGTAATGCCTCAATGTTCCTTGGATTGGAACAGGGCCTGAGCCAGAAGCCATGACATGATGAACGTATTGGCTTGCGCTCCGTGTTGATGTCGTTTCAGTTTCTCTTTGAAGCGCACAACCAAGGCGAAGTGGCGACCAGCACTCGAGAAACTTTATATTTTCTGCTCCTCCCTCCCTCTAAACTGAGATTTGTGAGGCTGATGGGGGTGCGGACCAAGAGCCTTGATTCTTTGAAATACCTATACATCTCTTGGGGTACCTTCCCCTCTTGTTTTCCCGGCTAGGAGAGATTAGTGTGCACGACAGGCCCCTGCTGTGAAGTATATAAAACCAAAACAATGGCGTTAATTGGTGCAAAGACGAGTTGAGCAATCGGGATGGTTGGCATCAAACAAAGATACGAATACAGTTTTTTCTTATAGAGAATATGAAAGGTTTTTCATTGCTACCAACACTATCAAGCATAACACATAAGAATTTTTTGTATTTTAAAATTAATAGCAGCATTATATACTATTAAATAATATAAATCCTTTGTTATGTTATATAGTGTTGCAATTTAGGACATAAATTAGCAACATGAAAATAAATTCAAAAGTTTAAAAAGAAAATTGTGTTCCAAACTCACCATATAAAATAGCAAATAAAAGTATCCCAGGGTACAACTAATATCATCTCATCAAATTGAAACATTAAGTAATTGTACTGCTTTGCAGAACAGGAATCATGGTTTGTTGTAAGTTTAATATATTAATATATTTTTATTTAAATAATTTAAGACTATAAATAGAGAATTAGAGATATAATATTCAAATAATTTGCTGTTCGTTGCATTCAGCAACGTTTGGTTTGCTTAATAGTAGTGTTATTATTATTTATTAATCAAATTAATCAAATGTAAGTTTATAAACTTATTTATAATTTATAAATTTAAGATTAATAAGAAGGAAGTCTTTTGAAAGTTTATAAATTATAAACATGTTTATAAATTATAAATACAAAATTAATCTAAATGAATAAGTACTAGAATATACTAAAATATCCAAGCATATTTTAAATATATCCACTCGGTTTGGACATTAAGATCTTATTTAGTTTTCTCCGCCTTTAACTAGAAATTAATCACGTAAGCAAACCACAAAGAAGTGTTACTATTTGATAAGCTGTGTGGCAATATAAAGAGGAGATTTGTCATTACACACCTAAGGATTTGGAGGCTTGAATCAACACCATGGCCTCTAGAACAAGATAATGGAGTGGACTCAAGAGGAAACTTTTGGATGTTAAAAGGAAGCAAACTTATCTATATTTTTAAAAACCATAAGATCAAGAACAAGAGGAGTGTGGAGGATCTTTTACCCCTAGTGTCTAGACAAACCCCTTAAAGAGCTTCACACCCCGATCAATTTCTAAAGTTGTGTCTCTATCCCTATGCCTTTCAACACGATACTCTATCCCAAATGCATTGAGCACAACTTCCACAATGCCATACCAGCGTTGCCGATCATACAGTTGATCCAAAACAGATCGAGACATGTCGAAAACACTGGTTAGCATGTCATCAAATGGGTACACAAGCCGGTTTGACGGAACCGAGCATATTCCACCCGCGGGATCTTCACGCCATATCTGGTTTGTCACCCGGACCTCCACCCACACCCGCACATTTCCTGCAAGCGTAGCAACCCATGTGATGGGCTGCCCTACTCTCACCTGGTGCAGACGCAGGTCCCGTACACGTTGGATAATTTCGGCCATGAGTTCTCTCACTTGCTCTACAGTGAGCAAGTCATATCCAAGCAAATACCTAAACAACCCTTGCTGTGGAGCAGGTGGGGGTGCACTGCAAGTATAAACCATTGCCAAGAGAAAGATCATCAAACTAGGGAGCTTTATCATTGGAAATCCAAGAAAATAGAAATTAGAATTCATCAACTGCTATTACTATTATTATCGATACAATATATATATATATATAGAAAGAAAGAAAGAAAGAAAGAAAGAATATAGACAAATAACACATCCTAGCAAACCAAAAGAGAAACCAAACTTTAAACCAAACTTTTGATTTTTATTTTGGTTTGATAGGATTTGTTATTTGTCTAAAATTTTATAGTAACAATAAAAACATCAAATATTTTCTGTTTTTAGTAGCATTTGCATTACATTTACTAGTTTAATTTTTTTTTTTTGTGTGTTGATTCCCTTGAAGCACTTTTTGTATGATTTTGTCATCTACAATTTGAGAGTGTGATGAAATTTGGTATTTATTGTTCAAATTCCTTAATTTAAGTTGTATATGTACATAACTTCAGTAAGCTTTGCAAATAGATGCCTTAATATTTCATTATTAAATGTGAATGCATTGAGGAATATTTAATTTGTATAACTATTTCTCTAATTGATTTCGCATGCATCAGAAGTTTGTTTTTATGAATCCTAGCCTAGATCAACTAGTGTCTAGAAATTTGAATTAAAATCTTTAGTTAGAAATGTAAATTAATTAATCTATTCCAAGTGAGACCATAAATGAAATTAGTAAAAACTGAAAAGCTATAAGCACAAGATGATTTTTTTCTATTGTACTATGAATTTTTAGTTTCTAGGATGGTGGTTTTTATATAAGAGGATTGAATAACATATCATCATTTAGATAACTAAATATTAATTTGACTTTTAAACTTCATCTACATATTAATTTTTAGCTTTAGGCTTTATGAAACCCATTAAGTTTGGCAAACCTGCACCACTAATCCAATTTTTATGACAATTATAACTTATTTAATATAATTATTATTTTACTTATTTTGAGCACATCTTCAATTCACCAGATCTGGTGATAAGGATTTAGTTATCACGCTGAAAATTTTCGAGGTTATTGTGATGATAATTTCAGAATAAATAAATTGAGATTTAATATAAAACTAGAAGCTAGAAGTCTAATTCTAAAAACATAAATTGATAAATAAAAAACAATTCTCTTAGACCCTGATATGCTTTCATTTAGATGAAGACACTTCAAAAGTATTATGCATAAATAAGATACATTGTTACTAAAATCTTACCCTCAGGTAATAACTTCTTTTCCATATCTTCTCCCCAAAAAGATGATAAAACCTAAGTTTGGTGGAACATTTGGAGCTTCTAACCAACTTATAAATTTACATTTTGTTTTCCTTTTTCTAAAGTTTGATTAAGATAGCTTTTACTTTATATTCTATTCAAAGGACCATTTAGATTGTCTGCAAAAGAACTCAATACATCATTGAAACCACAATAGCTTGTCCCCAGCCACCTATCCTTCCATTGTATCCCAATATTACACAGTTATGCTTTTGTCATTCTGAAGTGTCATGGTATATTACCTAGCATCATTTGAAAAAATATTGTTGTCAACGAACCAAATCTACAGGAAGTTGGTTGCTGTTTATTATGGGTCATCCTTTGGATAGAGTCATGGAATCTTAACAAGCACTTGCATCACAAACAGCCATATGCAAGCAAGGGATTGAGATATGAAAGAATGTGGGTTGGATTATGAGAGTTCTGCCTGTGAAGATGCCATTGCCCCACATTTTAGCATGAACCCTAAAAA